ACTTCCAGTGAGTTGGGACGTAGTATTTTATTACCCCCTGATTAATTGATAGATGCATTGAAATTCAATCATTTTAGCTTTCATCTGTCAAATAGTATTATGAATATAAATTTCTGTTGCACATCAGAACCTTTTTAAAGTAAATGTTTGTCCCAGGTCCAGAAGGTTGGTAAGGTCGCTCGTGCCATATGCATAATGAGCCACCCAATCCCAGACACTAAAGATTCTCACTCGGTCCAAGTCATTCTACCACAAAAGCAACTTGGTCGTAAATCAGATATGTATGTTTACCTAGTTTACTGTGTATACTTTTTATGACAACAGGTTATGGAGAACTTTATCGGAGTTCTAAACATTATAATCTCAAATGGGAAACAGAAGTTCCGGACACGAAGTCATAGTTCTGGATAATTGTAAAGACATATTTGTTTATTTACAACAGGTATCTGTTCTGCTGCTCTTATGCACACAATGTGGCGCCCAAAGGAAAATATATTGCCTTTGTTTCAGCAGAAGCCGAGACAGACAACCCCGAAGTTGAACTGAAGCCAGGAGTAGACCTCCTTGGACCAGTAGACGAGATCTTTTATGAAACTTATGACAGATTGGTACCCTATAATAAGAGTGATGCCGACAATTGTTTCATTTCCACAGTAAGTTTATAAGCTTCTGTCCATTATAATGTATTCATCTTTTCTAGTGAGAATTAGATGCTTATCATTTCTGCTACTCTTATGTGATAAACATAGTAATTGTTGGACTTTGTGGAGCCTAATTATTGTTTACTTATCTCCTCAACTATGGATTGACCTTTTCTTATAAGGGTATATTGGGCTTTCATATCTGTGCATTAGGTTGCCCTATCTTCCTAAGGTATATGGAGGAATCTGAGGGGGGTGTTTTTGTACGATAAGATGGATGGACGTGAGGAAGAAAAACTTGTAATATCCATTTTCGCTATACCTTCCACAGCGTTTCTCACTGATCACTTGCTGCATATTGTCATTTGTTGCAGAGTTATGATGCAACAACACACTTCGAGTCCACTGTAACTGATGTTCTAGCCATGTACACCAAGATAACTGGAAAGGTAACCGATAGATATACACAAGTGAAATTGCAGGAAGTGTATGTAACTTTCAGAAATTTTATAGTTACTTTTTAGGTATTTATTTTCTATTTTTCCTGGTTCAGGTTCTCGATTTGTCGGTAGACCTGAGTTCTGCAAGTGCTTCCGCTGAAGAATGACCTTCATTTTCTCCTCATTCTTCGAACAATTCACCTAGTCAGATATCAAACCTTCAAAATGGTTCTGATGCTTTTAGAGCTAATCACTATACGTTTTGCATTAAACTCCATGAAGAAAAAATTGCTGAAAAGAGTTTTTTGGACAGTGTGTTTGTTAGATCTTGCAATATGACCATTCGTTTTTCCTAGGTTTTAAAGAGTTGTGCTTATTGCTTCTCTAATTCCTGCAATAGAACTTACTATAATACGAAAACATATTGAATGTTCTTCATTAATCTTTTCAACTTACCTTTGTTTGTGATATTCCCCCTCTCTTGTTTAGGAATTACTTTTGGTTAGAAAATACTTTTAGCAGATATAACAAGCCTTTAGTAAGTTAGCAAAAAGCAAGTGAAAACTCATGAAAAGGTAATCATTGATAAGCAACAAGTAAATATAAACAAGTAGTAACAACATTCAGTTATTCATAATGAATCAAACCTAGCTTCGAACAATACATCATTATTAGTCGACAAGACTATTCGACTATGTTACACAACTACTTTTTCTATTTTTATTTTTTTCAAATTTTTTTGTTTGGATTTCTCAATGTATTTGATTTTTTATTTTTTGGTTGAAATTTAGAACAATTTTAGATGATATTAAGCCCCTGATTGAGCCACATTATTTTTTTCATTCTCATCGTTCTACTCATTTTTAACCACACATTTTTCAATAAAATAATATTTTTCATCACATCAATTACTTTTCCTTCTTTTTTAACCACATATTCTCCATCACATCAACCAAAAAAATGCGTTCTTGGAGCAAAAATATGCACCAAACATGGGCTAATACTTGACCACCTAAGTAGACTTAAAAACATGAAGACACACAAACACATAGGAT